AGTGTTCATGTTATCAGACTATTGCAAACAATTAAGTGACATGGAATTAGTGCTATTAACTAAAAGGCCAAAATTTAATTCAAAATCATAAGTACATTCATTTGGAAGATTTCTCAACATAATATGATACTCTAGACATATAATAATAATAATATTATTATTATTATTATTATATTATTATAATATAATAATAGTTCTTTCCTTGAGACGAGAACAGAGACACTATTCTTGACTAGGTCTACCTGAGGTTAAGAGAATCAAGGCTGTAAGAGGTAGGAGGTGAAAGAGAAAAGTGGGGCTTTAAATTCTCTTTGACTCTCAACCACATAGCTATTTTAGGCCTAAGTGGGCCCATCTATATCCAGGGCTCACCTTCTAGTTTTTCAGGGGCTGCAGAACACTATTTCCAGAGTGCCTCTCTCTCCTCAAAAGACCCCTGTCCTCCACCTGTCTTTGTGCCTCAACCTAATGTGTGGCACGGGTGAATCTGATAAAAATGATTATGATACTCTCAAGACACCATTAAGCACACTGTGTTCTGTTCATTAGCAATAAAAATCCTCATCTGTGAATCTGGAGGATCACCTTTCTTTGGATAGGAGCCCAATTGTGCACTTGAGCCCCAAGGCTGCTGTCCCTTGGCCAACGCAGCCCATTCTCTTTAAGCAACTGGGCATGTTTTATTGCATCAGAGGTGCAAATGACCTTTAGAGACGATCTGGTACAGTGTCACCCCACATGTGGCCCCAGAACCAATAGCAACAGCATCCCCTGGGACCTTGTCAGAAATGTACATTCTCAGGCCTCACCCCAGACCTGCTGAATCAAACACATTGGGGTAGGTCCCAGCAACTGGTACTTTCAAAAGCTCTCCAGGAGAGGAAACTACCCACCCAGCTCACCAGGTCACCCTTATCTGATAGGTGAACCACCTGTAGTCCATACTGCTGGTCAGGGTAACCATTAAACTCTGTTCTTTTGGCTCCTAACATACTATGCAAGCTCCAGTCCCCAATGCTTATCTTCCTTTCTAAAATTAAAACCATGTTGTGAAACATGCAAATGTAACCTCTTGTCAGGTAAGGAAAGCTCATCACCTTATCGGAGTCACCCTATGTCCTACCAAGGCTCTGACCTGCATATTTCACACCACAAAATACATGGTATCATGCATTTCCTGCCAAGTGGCCAAAGGTTTCATGGCTACAACTTGCAGAATATTCTGCCAAATGGGAAACTAAAATCACCCACGAGTGCAAGGACTTTGAAACTTACACCTTAGCGCTTTTTATTAAAACTGCCATTTTTCAGGACCAAAAAATATGACAATATACTTGATAGTGTCAAAATTTAGATTCCAGACAAAAAATAAGTAAGTATTGGAGTTACATGATACAATCAAGCCTAAAAAGTTATTGACTGTATTACAACTATGCGCAATATTACAGTATCGACTTTTTACATAAGAAAATGTGTGTAGAGGAAGTTAAAGAATCTTCCCAAAACTATAAAGGTTAATGTACAGCAGGGCTTACCCATTGTGTCTACACAAATTGGCTTTTACTTGAGAGGGAAAAGGGAATGAGAATTTGAGGACAGAAGTTCTAAATGTCCGATCAAACCTTACTGTTCAAACATGGGCTTTAAGTTAGCCAAGTGATCTAGCAGGGCACAAAGGTCTTACATAATCTACTCAAAGGCTGAACTTGGCTTAGTTTTCCTTGTACTTTACACCACCTTTAATCTCTGAGACAATAGATGTGCAAGGCCAGTTTCTTCCAACAGGTGATAGCATGGAGGTCACAAGAGCAGGTGGCAAAGAGTGGGTAGAGGGCAGGTAATGCAAAGTGAAAGGGAGAGAGAGTTGCGATCTGTCCTACCCACTTTCGCCTCTACTCAGTAGAGCCTGCTTTATTACAGGAAGACCCAAGGCACAGTGGTTTCATCAATATCAGCTAACATCTGTGAGACTTTACTGTAACACTGGCTCCAAAATTTCTGGAAAAACTAGATATCCATATGTAGAAGACTGAAACTAGGGTTCTACCTCTCACCCTGTACAAAAACCAATTCAAAAAGGATCAAAAACCTTAACATTAAGTCCTGAAACTTTGAAACTACTAGAGAAAAATAGGGAAAACATTGCAAGACATAGGCAGCAGCAATGACTTTCTGAATAGGACTCTAATAGCTCAGGAAATAATAATAAGAATTGATAAATGGGGTTGCCTCAAATTAAACAGCTTGTGTACAGTAATAGAAACAATCAACAGAGTGAAGAGACATTCACAGAATGGGAGAAAATCTTGCCAGACATTTGTTGGGGAAGAACTGATATCTAGAATATAAAAAGACCTCAAAAAGTCAAACATCAAAAGAATAAACAACCAAATTAATAAATAGATAAATGAACATTTTTCAAATGAAGAAGTACAAATGGCCAATAAATATACGAAAAAAATGTTCAACATCCTTCGCCATCAGAGAAATGCAAATTAAAACCACACTGCGTTTCTACCTCGCCTCAGTCAGAATGGCTATCAAGAAAACAAACAACAACAAATGCTGGTGAGGATGCAGGGGAAATAGGAACCCTTATTCACTATTGATAGGAATGTAAATTAATCCAGCTACTATGGAAATCCATATGGAGGTTCTTCAAAAAGTTAAAAACAGAATTTCCATATGATGCTGCCATACCACTTCTGGGGATATACCCAAAAGAATCAAAGTCAGCTTATTACGGAAATGTGTGTATATCCATGTTTATCCTGGCACTATTCACAATAGCCAAATTATGGAATCAGTTTGGGTACTCATCAGTAGATGAATAGATAAAGAAAATGTGGTATATATACACAATGGAGTTTTCCTCAGCCATTAAAAAAATGAAACTATGTCATTAATCGCTGGAAAATGGATGGAACTAGAGATCATCACTTTATGTGAAACAAGCCAGTTCCACAAAGACAAGTACAGCATGTTTTCTCTCATTTGTGGAAGCTAGGGGAAACGAGTCAAAACACAACCAAGGTTATGAAAGTAAAAGGGGGACAATTAAGTGAAAGGGGAAGGGAAGAGGGGAGGGATAAGAAAGAGCAATGGAGGGGATGAATATGAGCAAAGTACATTATATGCATGTATGGAAATATCACAATGAAACCTCTTACTATGTACAATTTAATATATACTTATTTAAAAAAAAGAAAGACAAAATCTGAATGAATATAGCTAAACCTTTGCTTCCAGGTCATTGAGCAGGATCAATGAGGCTGCTTCTTCCTGAGCAAGTATCTGGTAGGTAGCTGTCATTGTCCCAGGGAGGTACCAGATCTATTGGCATCTGAAAGCCAACTTCGGCTTCCAAGAACCCTGAGGCTCCTGGTACCATAAACAGCTGTGGTTCCTTGCGTATTTGGATGGGAAAAGCCAACCATTCTTCTCCCTGCCCCAAGCTGAGGCACAGCAGGTCTTAAGTCTCTGTTCTGCCTGGGCATAGCTGGTGGTACTGGTTGTGTGATGCTCCTGGGCTTCATGTTTCTTTTCTTATCTCGACAACTATGTGGTACCTTGAAGAGACCTAAACTTGCTGCAGTGTTTCTGTTTTGGGGTTCCTTAGGGCCAAAGCACCTCTCTCAGTGCCCTAGTGTGCTACAAAGCACACTTAACAATCCCCAAGCCAGGGATTTCTTTAAGGGAAAACAGAGATTGACGATCATTGGACCAGCTAACCATTTGTCTAAGCATAAATTCCTTCCTAGAGAAGTGTGAGAGAAGAGTGAAAGAGGGATTTTAATACAATAAGTGCTTCATAATTTGGAGAAGGATCTGTTTGATTTGATTTATCTCACTAACAGAAATAGGGTCCTCCTCCCCACCACTTACACATCCATGGCCACATGGGAATATTCTTAGATGACAAAATGCTTTATCTATGACATTCCAGGTTCATTGAGGCACTCTTTCCCTCATGTATAGTATTGGCATAATGTCCCTTTATTCTCTAGGGTAGTCATGAAGGAATACTTCAGCAATATTTTTTTCTTCCACAAGGACAGTCCTCCTCGAGTGCAAAACACAAGTCTATCCTTCTGGTGTTAACAGCCTGATGCTACACATACCTGTGTTAGGGAAATTATACTTCAAGGCTCTCAAGTGCATTCTACACATTTGCATAAGACACAAAGTATGCCCTGGCCATTACAGAGATCTTACTGAGTGTTATTGCTGAAATATTATAATAACTAGAAGAAAGTTCACGGCAGTAACTGCCTTTGAAATGTCTCTGGAGCCTGAGTTAATTACACTGTCTGTGACCCTGCTCTGGTTTGTGTGTTGGCATGTTGAGGGTTTCATTCACTTCATGAGTGCAAAAACAATGAAGTGTGGTAAAAGAGAAGTTTGAAATTGCAACAAGAAACACATTCATATTGACTGAGTTCACATGCTCTTCTGAGATGAAATGTCACACAATTTTTATAACTGCTTAGAAAGAAAGGCATTTCTGCTTCTCTAAGGCTAAACTGTCCTTTGCAAAGACAAACTATCAAGCTAAGATTCTATTCCTTGATCTAAATCAGGGCTTAGTTCATTTCTGTTGATTCTATAATAATTTATTAAATTGTAAACTTATAATTTTTGGAATCTTTTGTACATCTCAAATTTTAACAAAAAAGTTTTAGCAACAAACTTGAATAAAATTATAGTGCATCTGCATTGCTAAGCAGAAGGACAGAGGTACAGCTAGGGAAAAAGCTATATTCTGAGATAGTCTTTGCAGAAATTAGAGTTTTGGGACCATTACCGAGACATTAATTAATTGGGCTTTGTGTGGAAAAAAAAAACCAATTTATTGGGCTGAAAAAAAGGCCGAGTTAAACATGAGGATTTTTTTTTTGGTTGTTAAGTATACACATAGATAATTCCACCCACAGCAATATTCTAGTAAGGATATACCATTTTGCCAGGAGATCAGAAGCCTGTGTGTGGGAAAGTCCCCTATAGAGTGGAAGTGTGCTAAATTTTAGGTTTAGCTCAATCTTGTTCCATCTTTGAATATGTGTGGCTTACTTAATTTGCATAATCACATATCCCATTGTTTTTTAGGGGAGATAAAGGTATATAAAATTTAATACACAAAATTGGGTTTCCTCTAAAGAAACAAATTACTCAAACGCACTCAGAGATTACAATAATGATCACATGGTAAAGTTTGTTAAATTTGGGCTTTAAGGGGAGTGATGTCATGCACAATCCATGGGGATTAAGAAAGAACAAAAAAGGACAGGTCAACCAGGAAAAAAGGCTCCCCCAAATCCGGATCAGCCATTTGACGTTTTTGAGTTGTTTATGTTGCAATTAAGCCAGCACCTTGTTCAGTTAACCTCCATTTGACCTACAGAAGAAGCAAGTTGTTTTTCTGGAGCTAGTCATTAGTTGAACTGTAACTGATATTCCCTTGATGGCAGAACTTCATTTAAGTTGAAAAAGGAAAATCAATAAACAGATAACCTGAGGACTAACGAGTAAGGAAGTCTGACCCCATCTATCAGCCTTTCCCAAGGGCACAGGAAGCCAGGCTGAGAATCTGGAGGACAGGGAGGGAAACCTGAGCAGGAGGCAGGGCAGAAGGTAGTCCAGGCTCTGGACAACACTATAAACTACCTGGGAGAACGCAATTCCAAATGCCACTCCAGCGATGATTCCCATGTTTGTCTCCATGAAACTGGTCACCAGATCATAACAACCCTGGAAAAAGAGAGAAAAGTTCTCAGAGATGTATTTTCCTCAGGCCAGGCTGGGCTACATTGCACTTTTCAACACCCTCATATATACTGCAATCTCAATTCAGCAAATATAATTGCAGGTCACCCTAGCATTCTACTCAAACAAACAAGCAAGCAAACAAAAAATAGCAAAAAAATGAAGCACACACAAATGTATAGTATAGAGAGTAGACCAATGAATCCACACGTGACACTTTCCTTAACATCACAATTAATATACAGCCAATCTTGTTTCACCTAAACCTCCACAATTCCCATTCCCTGGATGAGTTACTTTAAAGCAAATCCTAGACATAAAGTCATCCATGGATGTCTGTTAGTAGGATTAGATTTATAGATGAAAAGGCATTCCAAATCCCTGGCCAGGAAACCTTAGCATCATAAACATAGTCATTAGCATTTTGCCAATGAAAGACAAACTCTTGAATAAACAAAGAGAAAGCATCTGGTTAGGTGGATGTGTTGGAGTACCTGCCAACTTTATGGAGCTACAGGATTCTTCCTAAGGAAACCATTAATATCCTTCTTAATAATAAAAATCTATGTTCTAGAGTCACCTGTTCCAAAAAATTTACTATGTGCCCTTGAACAAGTCACTTCCCTTTTCTGGATTTCATAACTTTACCATAAAACGAAGTGAATTTCCCCTTAACATATTAGGAAATCTTTAAATGTCAAGATTAAAGCCAACAATTATCACCAGTTTTAATGTTGGTTTAAAATGGATGAAGTGAATTATACCTTTCTTTAAGATGAATCAGCTGGTTAGAGTGCAACAATGTTGCTACATTACATTTTGCCAACCTAGTTGAAGTAGGAAATGACAAAGTTTTTGTATCATCCATAATGCAAAGGCAAAAGCTGACTCTTCCAGTTAAGTCCCTGACTTTTAGGTCAGACAGCAAGAGTGGGAATTTGTGAGAGTGTATTCATTTGGAACAGGCCAAATCAGCCTAGAATTCTGAACTGACTTATTCAGGTAGGAAAATACCATCTTTCCCCAGTTTTCTAATAAAGGGCACTGACTTGAAAAAATAAAATGTGTGAAAGATGAAGACATTAATATAATAAATAGGATAAAGGTGATGCTTGCTTGTCAAGAAAGTTACATCAAGTTCTAATAACATCTGAAGAACAACAATAACAAATACTCCACTATGTCTTCCACTTTTGAATTCAAATCCCAACAATTTAACATTTCTCATAGCTTATTATAATTCTGCAACTGCTGTACCTTCTAAATGATATTTTCTATTCATAGTCTCTTTGCAGAGAAAAGGTACATTAGCTTAGCAGCAGTGCTATATGACACATGGTTTCAATGCAATTCACAAACTACACTCCTTAGTTATCTGGTGCAAATATCAAGGGCAGGGGGAGGAAGTATATTATTGCTCATGGGGAGTTGTGAAATTCAATTCTCTCTAGTAGAAGCTTGCTGGTTTTCTTTTAGTAGGGAAATAATACAGCACAGTACTTTTCAAAGGGTAGTAGGAGGGAGAGGAGTTTGGGTTAGGAAGGAGTCAAAGTGGGAAGAGAAGTGACTATTCTAACATTTTCGCTAATGTTAACAGCCCAGATAGCATTTTGCCAACCCAGCCATCATTACCACATCTTCTCTCCGAAGTGTTGGCCAGGTGGGGGAATGAGGTTCAGACCTGTGCAATGTTAGATCAGCTCAAAATACAGAACCACAAACCTGATAATACCACCCAGACAGAAGTAATACAGGCCATTTTCTTATTCTGCAAAATGGCTTGGCACAGATTTTTCCCCCTGTGGTTTCAATTCTACACTAAAGACAAATGGGCTTTTGTAAAGTATGATTTCTACTCCATTTTTTGAGGATGGTTTTGTTTTTGCAGTAGACCTAGACTATCAAACATGCTAGGCAAGTACTCTACCACTGAGTTATACCCCAGCCCCAGTTTTGGAAACTTTTAGAGTTACTTTAGTCTTGATAAGGCCACTCCAATCAGTAAGAGAAATCATGAAAATGAAGTAAATGCCTGGCATTAGTACAACTGGGGTTCTCTCTAAACCTTGTGCCTCCATGTGTGGTTTTTTTTTTCTTGTTGTTGTTTGCTTGTTTGTTTTGAGACAGGGTCTCACTATGTAGCCCTGTCTGCCCTTGAACTCACGATCTTCCTGCCATACTTGGCAATGTGTGGTTCTTGAATGAGCAGCGCTGCATCACCTGGAGCTCATGAGAAATGCCAAATTGGAGGCCTCACCCCAGACCTCCTGAATCAGCATCTGCCATATAGCCCTGAGTTATTTATTTTTAATAATTTTTAATGAACTTTAATCCATTTTAACAAGCTCTCCAGATGTTTCACATGCCCTATTTGTTAGTAAAAATGTTTCCCCTTTTTACTATAAATAAGAAATCAAATTAATGCATCATATCAGCAACAAGATTAATCAAAAGGAAAAGATGAAGTGATGTCAAATGTTTTCCATCTCTGTATTTATTTTCCCTATTGCTCACCACATGGATCCAAAGCCCATTTCCCAAGTTTCAGCATGGCTCTGCAGACTGCAAGAAATGCTATGACCACAGACCATGTTTAGTGCAACACACTAAAACATGATCCTATCTACCCACAACCATCTCTCCCAATTTCATAATATGAAAGCTTGGTTGTCAAGCATGAGATAAATCAACAGCAACCTGCTAAGTCTCCTATGAAACACCCAGAAACAGAACAGTTAATTTGCTCACCCTCTCAGCATGTCTAAATCAACAGAGTCACCAATGGAAAACATCTGCAAGTGGCAGACTTTAACCATTTGGAGTAGAAGGCTGGTTCTAGATAGGTTCTGGGAACAGGTATCTCTGTAGCTGCCAACCAGAATAACTCTTTCTTCCTCTTGCTTTTTATAAACTGGCAAGAAATTTCTGTGGAGTAGGGGCTCAGCCAGTGTAATTAGCCAGCCAAACCTGCAGACATTTCATCATTCTGCTAGCAAAAGCAAAATAAAACCGATCCTCCAAACAATAAATATCCAATGTAACTGCTCACACCTTCCTCCTCCTATTCCCTCATAATCTGTATAATGTAGGTCTTCAGGCTGCCAGGTAAAAGTCAAGAATCATCTTTCTGTGCTATCACAGTGTAGGGTTCAAAACACGTGATCATCTATATCGATGATCTGTTTATTCTAAATCACGCGATTCTATATAACTAGAATGTGGCAGTAGTTAAGGCTTCCTGGGGAAGGAAGTCACAGCGGGGATGCTGACATTTATGTGCATGTACTATTACTCTCTCCATTCCATCCCCATCTCCCACTTTTTATAGATGTGGTATCTATAAAACTCAGACAGGAGAAATAATTTGTTTTGGAGGTTCGTGTGGGCATTAAACGAGAATGTCTAATGAAACTCAGTAGACAAATTTCAGTTTCTGTTTACTTTCGCTCTGCTGAAGGACCCAGGCTGGAAAGTACAAGGGCAGTGAGAAAGCAGCTAGGCACCTCTTCCAAGTATTTGAGGTGCCCAGTGAAATATTAAGATAGGATTGTAGCAGAGAGGTGGAGAGTGCTATCAATGTGTAGACTATCAGTGAAATGAAAAAGAACTATCCATCTTTCCTTCTAGAAATAGTTGAAAGGACTATAGATACACTATAGGATACACTATATATATATATATATATTCCTATAGATACACTATAGGATACACTATATATATAGATACACTATAGATACACTATATGTACATATAGGATATGCCTCCAAACTTTCTGTCAGATACTAAAAGAAGATCTTCCCTACAAGAACCTATTGCAACATTTGTAATAAAAGTATGACATAGTGGAAGGCAAACTTACCATCACTGAAGTTATATTCATATTACAGTTAACATTTACAGTATTCTTAGCCTGTGCCAGGTACTCTGTTTCAGGTACTTTATCTCATTAAATCCTTATATCAACTCTAAGGTGCTATTATTATAACTATTAACTATTATAACTAGTAATATTATAAGTACTGTTATCCCATTTTACAGAAAAGGCAGGAAGACTGAGAAAGTTAAGTAACTTGACTAAAATTGCACAATTAGCAAGTGGCTGACTCAGAGTTTAGACTGGAATCTGACTCCAGACCCTTTGCTCTGACTTCTGGATCCTCAACTTTCACCAAAGAATAGGAAGTTTGGGTGAAAAAGAAAGACTTCTACCAACATTTGATGAGTGCTGCTTTTAGGAACAAACCTCATGAGCCAAATATCTCACTGTCATAGATCACTTCCTGCCTTCCATAAATCAGTGTCCACCATGTGCCAGGTATGTCTGGCACTTCATAAAATGGCAGCAAAATGACACATATGGGTGCTCACTGGGGATCTCTATGAAAAAGCTAGAAGTCATCTAATTAACTAATGAGAGGCAAAGGATGCCTCAAAGTTTACATTCATAAGAAAATTCCAGCAGGAACAGATGTTGTCTTAGCTAAGACAGGAAGCTGTCAATACTGAATTTTACTGAACTATACCAAAAGCGAAGTAGTAAGTCCAGAATGGCAACAATGCCTTACAGCATTTGTGTTACAACAATAAATGGGTAAAATTTAGAAACCACCTCGTAACATTCTAATCTTGTGAGAATGGCTATCATCTCTTTATGAATTATTCAGTAGTTGGCCCAGATCACATAGAATTTTGAAGACATTAGAAGAATAGAATTTTATCTTAGTAAGAAAATTTTCCCTGTGGCTGAATAACTACAGGTAAACATGATAGTAGGTTTTTTTCTTCCTCCTCTTTGTTTCACCAAATCATATTTGGGAATGGTATTTAAATGTTTAAGAACATAGATAGCCTTCACTTTGCAGTTGCATCACGTCTTCATTTTATTCTCTGTAGAGAATTGATTTTTCTCCTCTCTGACTATCAAAACTTCATTTTTCTCATTTGTACTATGTACTAACTTTCAGATTTCCTTTAGCCATCTTTTTTTTTTCTGTTTCTCTGGGAGTCAGGATGTTGACAGCAAGTTGAATTGGAGTTGCTGATTTCTTTTCCTATAGTAGTGAACTCCCTAAAATAAAGGCCACACTCCTAGCATAAGCAGATGCTGTCTGTCAACTCTACTCCCTTCTTCCTGCCAAAGACTGGCACCCAGCTGTGAATAATTTCATGTTTAGACGGTATATTAAGCAGAAGAAAGACACCCAGAAAGAAGAAAGCCAACATTCCCTGCCTGACACAGGCATCAGGGTTAAGAGGAACCACTTGCCAAACCTTCCTTCCTAACTGTGCCTGGGAGATGCTCACTGCGGGAGAGCAACGCAAGGCTGATCTGAGTCACAGCTTCCTCTTTTAGAAGTGAGCAGCCTCAAGTGCCTCTCCTGGGTAATCAAGGACCACAAAGGAAGACTCTTGACTCACTACTGGACTACCCTTTCTAACCTAGTCATCATAATTTCACAGAAGCAACAAAACCCTCCCCAATATTCTCCAGTGGTCAGATCAGAGCTGAGCAGAAACACGTACCTTCTGGTTAACTTTGGTGGCGGCCACAGTCAGATTGTGCAGGTCCTGGGCATTGCAGTCAGTTTCATTCATGCAGCAACTGGGGGGGATGCCATGCTCCAAGAAGTAGGGGCTGGTGCTCCAGTTGGTGTAGTTCTGCACACCACAGCAGCTCAGCTGTTAACAGGGAAGTGAAAAGAACCAAAGAGTGGTAGATCAAAGACATTATGGTCTCTCACTCACTGCCCTGCAACTTTTAAAAGAGAATCGTGGGCCAAGCTCCAAAGACAACATGTACAGCTTTGGTGTGTAAAGATGAACTGAAGCTCCACTAATAATAATCCTCACTTTAGTGCTCATTGAAGTCAGAGAAGGAAGTGAGTCTACGTCATATATCTATTGGTTTTCTTACCACCTCCACCAAGCACAGTGCTTCTTTGCCTTGGTGAAGCATTACAGTCGATGCCACTAAAGGTAGAGATGTACACATCCACTACTTCAGGATTGTCCCGGGGGGAGCTGAGGCAAATAATGGCTTTAAACAGCTTCCCCAGGTGATCCTGATGGGCAGTAAGACTTGGACAGTAGTGCCTGTCACCCTAAGTACTATTGGGCAGGAAACCTCTCTTCTATTTCCCTCTTGTTCTCTGTAAAACACAGGCAGCCTGACCATTCACATACCTGTTATGTCAGGTCCTCAGTTTCTTCTCTGTCCACTTTCTACCCCTGCTACACTGCCCAGCCAGTTCATTAAGCTCATTAGAGTCCTCCAGCCAGCAAATGCTATTGGTCCAACCAACTAGAGGCCTAGAGGTCTAACCTCAGACCAGTCAGACAGGCACCGTTCCAGTCTCTTTCCCTGGAACTTACGCTGCGCTGCACGTGGTCCACTGCCCGGCTCCTCTCGTCATTGCCATTGTAGTTCTGCATGGCATCAGTGTAAGTCCTCAGAAAGGTATCCTTGATCTATGGAAGACAAGGGGAATGTGTTTCAGTCTATTGCAGTCCAAACTGACTGAGATTCATACCAACTTCTGTCCCAATATGGCCTCTTTCTGAAAGTCTCTGAATAAACAGAGGCTAGGATAGGAAAGTCCACCAAGGGATTTATTAGCTCAGGAATTAAAAAAAAAAAAAGTTGGCCTTACTCCCAGTTCTGAGGAAGCCTGGCCTGTCAAATGACCCACTGACATGGCTAGTCAGTTTCTGACAGGCTGTGACTGTGAGCTATCAAGCCTCAGGCATGAGTTTCTACTTATTTTCTCTGAATTGTTAATGCCCATCTTCCTTTCTATAACTTTCTCTGTCTTTACACAGAAGAACAATAATGAGCTAAGCCACTGAGGGGACAGGAAGACTAGTGCTTTGGCCTCAAACAGATCCTTATTCTACTATATAGGAGTTGGGCAAAACTAACTTTGACTTACCAGTCTTTACTGAGGCCAAAATAAAAGAGACTAAAGGATAAGAAGTTTTCTTGCTAATAAGGGGTTAGTAAAAACCCTTTTTCCTTCTCCAAGAATACATTTAACCTTGGGATAAATTCTGAGCTTTGTTTCATTGAGGAAGGTGCTGTGCTAGGTATACTGTCAGGCTACCTGACTTAGAGTAAAACTGAGCCCTGATTGGTGAAACATTCTGGATTAGGAGGACAGCAAATGACAATAATCACCTGGTGGGAAGCTTAGGGTGAAATACGGCAATTCTCCCAAGTAGGTATACTTACTAAAACTGAAGGCTATGTACATGGGATTGTTACAAGAGATAAACTGACACTAGCTACATGGAGCTTCTAAGCCAAAGTGGCTGCCACACCCAGCTATATTACCTCATTTCACTACTCCTGAGATATCTCTCAAGGTGAGGTACTGTACACAGAATAGGCCTGGGTCACTCTGAGGACTCATGCTGAAGAAATAAGCCTTACCCTGCTTATTTTTCTGAGTAAATGGCACCAAGTGTGACCTATTGGCACCCTGTGATTTTGACTGCTTAGCCAAACTCAAGACCAGTACTTGTGGTCTAAGAGTAGTATTGAACCCTAAGTGTCTCAGATGAAAAGAGGTTAAGAAGATGAGGATTTCTAGACCCCAGGGATCACACATAGCAGCACCCAAGAGGAAAGCAGGCAGGGCTCAAGTTGGAGCAAGCAGGCAGCTCCTGGTGCTCAAATGGGCACTTGGGGCATCCATCAGGACTGTCAAGGCCATGACTTCATTGGGTTTCACCTCAGCTAAGAATAAGAATGGGTCTAACTCCGGATGCAGCACTCATATGAGACAGGTTCTAGAATATTGCCTCAGGAAAGGCAAAAGCCTGGGCAATAGGGAAAAGGAGCAGAAAGCACATAAGGTAAGCTCTATGGGAACATAATTCCTTAAGCAGAAAAGTAGGGACCAGGAAGAGATGACGTCAGACTTTCAAAAGCCACATTCTTGAAACCCACTCAGTGTGTTTTCAACCTATATCTTGTTATACTGTCCCTTTCTAACACATGCTTATATACTTCTGGCTTTACTGCTATTTACAGGGTACAGTAATGGATTTGTGAGACAGCAAGGCAAGACAATTAGTTTGGCTTGGCCTTTAATAGTCTTGGAAATCTTGTTACACAGATACATGCAGTGCCTTGTTCACGTGAAGCAGCTATTTTTAAAGGAGTATTGAATGTATATTGAAAGTAGCAACTTTAAAGTGGAGTAGAGAATCTTTTCATGCAATAGCTACATAGAGAAAGAGAATAAAGGTCAACAATGAAGGTTTAGAGTTTGGTGAAATTCCTGCATGTAGAATTTCATTGGAATTTCAGGCCACATTGTATGACATTTGGAAAGTTTAACTAGCGGTTAAACTAGCTAGCTTATACATACCCTTATACATTAAGTGTTCTTGAAAATTTTTCCTCTCAAATGAAAATTGAGTTTTCCACCTCATGTATACTCACCTCATGGCGAAACACAAACCCTGAAATGCCAGCTACAAGCTCAGCCAGGAACACCAGTGACAGGAACATGGCATACTGAAAATCAAGTGGACAAAGACAAGGTCAGATGTCAGGATTAAGAGAAGAGGACTTTTTCAGGGTAGACTACTTCCTGCCAGACAGAATTAGACATGACCCTATAAACCCTAAAGAAAGTTTAGAGAAAGTTAAAAAATACTCTATTCCAGATTTCTAACCCACATGAGCCTCAACATAGGAAGGAATCTATTTAATATGCAGAAGCATTTTGGAGTATACATGATAAGGAGAGCTTGACAGAGACTAGCATTGTGCCTGCCAGCTCAATTCAACCAGGAGAATCTTGGAAGAGACATCTACAACTAAGATATTCACTATCTTGAACAGACTCTTTGAACTAGAGAAAAATCTGCTCTGGAGGTCACAGGCCTCAGTTCTGCCCTATCTGGGAATCTTTCCAACTACCTCACTCATGATAGCCATTAGTACCTGCAAACCCACCCCCTGCAACATGGTTTTTTCTCCCTCCCCTCCCCTCCCCTCTCCTTCCCCTTCCCTTCTTTCTTCTCATTCATTTTACAGTGCTGGGGATGGAATCCAGGGCCTTGCACATGCTAGGCAAGCACTCTATCACCAAGCTACACTCCCACCCCGTTTGTTATATGCCTGCCTGTTCTATTTTGTAACTGTTCCAACTGTTGGAAAGACATCCTTTCCCTTGGCCTACTTCTAACTTCCACTTGCTAGAACTAGTTCTGCTTTTAGATGCTACAAGGCCCCACCCTCTGTTATATCCACTGGCCCTTGATATGTACGAGCACAACCAGAACACAAACTGACTCTCTTTACTTGGACAAACTCCTTCACTTTCCTTGGCTACATCTCATACCATACAAAATCACTTCATTTGAAACTGTACCCCTACCATCTGGGTCCAAAGGAGGATGCACGCTCCTCCGTATGCTGTCATTCCTGAACACAGCTTCCCATGGGACTTCTTGCCTCTGTGGTCTGGATACTACATGGAATTTATAGCCTTTTTAAAAACAAATATGCTACAAACAATGCTTGCAAGTACCTAAAATCCTCAGTGCTTCTCATCTCATGCTGCATGTACTTCCTAAATTAACTGTTTGTGTGTGTGTGTGTGTGTGTGTGTGTGTGTGAGAGAGAGAGAGAGAGAGAGAGAGAGAGAGATGAGCATCCAAGTTCAGGCGTATTACATGACACTTGTGAGGTATTAAGAGCTTCCATTTTTTGTGACTTTGAAAAGCAGATAAAAGGACTCCTTACCAACAAAGCATATGTCTTACAATCTGCTTCTTCTCATTTCAAAATGAGATTCAAGGATTCTTAGTGTTCTCAATGCCCCTACATGATGCTGTGGAATTTGGATGGACCACACATGGATACATTCCTTACCCGTAAAGCGTACCTATGTCTTCTACAGTATATGTAGAAGTATATGTGTGTGTACAGAATAACAAATTATTTTTCTTAATTAGTGGAACATACATTAAAAGGCGGAAACACTGGTTTAAAATACCAACTTCTTCTAGATATTAACAAAATTCTCTACAAAGCACAATCACAAAAATATTGAACATGTACTTATGATGCCCTGTGTACACAACTTTGGTCTTGCAACTTCATACAAAATACAATTAGAAGCATGCATTACTCTGGGGAGAGTCTCACAACAGGTACAGAATTCACCAGAAAGCTGTGTGGGTCAGAAGGCAGATGGGAGAAAGGACATTTGTCTCTGTAGTCAGAAGTCCTGCTAGGACTAACTGCTAAGAAAGAAGTCACTTCTCTGGTCCTCCATAACCATTATTTTCAGTGGTTTCATAATTATTGAGGTTAAATGAGAACTATAAGATTATAGACTGACAGTTAAGTCAAGTGACTTTCATTTTCATCAGTCAGATCTGCAGTTTTCTGTCTCTGGCAGGTCCCTTGCCTCCAGGAGCATCCAGAGAGTAACCACTTCACCAACAGAAGGCCTTGGCCAAAAACTTATTAGGAAGAGCTTGTATACTAAGCTTAGTGCTTTCCAAATGAAAACACTGAGGGTAGAAACAGTCCTAGATTGAGAAAACACATGGAAACACATACGCTATGCGAACTTGAGCAGGTTATCTAACCTCCAAGTCTTTATCACATAACGTGAAAATACAACCTGTGCTTCATGGCAGTGGTGAGGAATTAAAGTAATATGTACTCAGTACAGCGTACAGGACATAAATGGAATGAAATGATATTTTTGAAGATCAAAATCAAGCCCAAACCAAAAATCTTTTCTACTTCCCAAAAGGCTCATCTGCCAGTGAACTTGAGCATTAGACAGCAATGGTAGTATGGCATGAAATCACCTCCAGAAGAGGCCAGAGATAACTGTTGCGTCATTTCCATACATCCAGTTTATGACCTTATACTCAACTATGGGGAAGTTCTCCCTCAAAAGCAAATTTAGAGTTAAAACATGAAAGGATCCTCCTTCCTGTTCTCCTTCAGTCACAGTATTTAGGCTGGAAGAAACTTTGGTGATTTTCTCTAATACTATACTTTTATAATTGGAGACAGGCCCAAAAAGGTTACAATCTTGTCACTATAGACTTAAGCCAGTAGTGTTGGTTTGCAGGCGGGTCTTATCACTATATCTTCTGCCTTCTTGCTTGGAAAGACGGTTTTCTAGTAATCTTTCTTTTCAATGGCTCTGAAGTTAATTTGCTCCTTGCTACTCATTGTATTAAACAAGGTTCTCCACACTGGCTACAGAATAGAAGCCTTGAAGAGTTTTCTAGAAATAAGATCCTAGACCCTCACCACCAGAGGTTCTAATTCAATTGGCTGGTGTGGGGAGCTGTTAAAAATGTTTTCAAAAAGCTGCCCAAATGATTTAAACATGCATCCAGAGTTGAGGATCATGGCACTAGATGAAAAGTGCTTATGAGAAGAACTAGAAGGGAGCTAGGTTAGTGTCAGGTGACAACAAGAGAGGTGGCTCATTATGGTTCCATGGCTTTTCCACCAACCTGGAAGAATTGTGATAGCCAAAGCATCAGCCTCCTGCATGATCATCGGGACAGAAGGTTGCCAAGTCATGCACTACTTCTGTGAGGTTGCCAATAAGGAGAATGGCTGACTAGTACTAGTTGGGAAGGTGGTTCCTTTGGAGTGAATCAGCCTCACATCCACAAGTATCACTAGGTGGCATTTGATGTTACTATAACCAAGTGCTAAAGAAGTACAGGCAAGTTGGCCCCGATGGAATCTCTGTTTTCCCCCTTTCAGGAAACAGCATGTCTGACATAACTCATTTTAAACAAAATTTTAATTTGAGGAGAGGTCTTTTCTAACTCTTGTTGGCAAAAGGAAAAGTCCTTCAACATTAATTCTCATCAAGGAAGACTGCAGTGAGTAGGAAATTAGGTAACTGGTCTACCAAAAAGCTAAAAGTCACAGTAATAGTTTTTCAGTAGTCTGCCTTTACCCCTTGGGACAAATCATGGCTTTGTTCTGTTATACTACAGCCCTCCAGCAATGGTTCTGGTAGCCAACACTCAGCACTGCATCAGCTCTCTGAATGGGAGGCTCTGTTTTAGCTCAGCTCCCACAGTACTGAGCCAGAGAATACATGGGAAAGCAGAGCTGTCCATGCATCCGTGCGTGGCCAGGATCAAGGAGGCAGGAAGGACTTCCCCAGGGGGAACCTGGAGATGAAAGGCTGCTTCTGTTTAGGATGATACCTTGCCCATCAAAGCTGTACATCACATGCTGGAGGAAATTTCTGAAACAGAGCTGAAGTGTAAAACAGGGCATGTTGTCAAGGGGTCATTGATCTATTAGAAACACTGGCCACTGCTTTGTCATCAGCTACCTTAAGAAAGTGGGACTGGATTTATTGCACTAGGCTGTGTTTTGCATTGTTTTTTCCACTGGGGTGTTAAAGGGTGGATTAGGTAAGAGTGTGAACTACAATAAGAATCAGTGAATATTAAGGTCTTGTCTCTGGCCTCAAGAAGGGCTACTTCACCACCATTTTCACAAAAAGGAATGTGAATTCCAGGCCAGCCAGAGCTACACAGCCCTGGCTGACATCCCGTCTCAAAAAAAAAAAAAACTGAGAAGATAGCATTATGCTGTGATATACTCACCAGTTTCAGCATCCATGGGCTACCACGGCATGTAGCAAAGCATCCAAACAGGCCAAAAACAACAATAGTGGTGCCAGTTCCGATGAGCACATAGGGAGCATTTGTGGAGTTCTCAGCAATAAGGGAGATGTAGGTGCCCAAAGTAAGTTTTCCCCAGACTCCAACAGCCAACAGGATCACCCCAGTGATCTGAAAAGGGAGAGAGGAGACTGTAAAACCATTGCCAGGAGGGTAGGAATCAACACAGAGCAATGGGGCTACAAAGAAGACTCAAGTTTCCATGAGCAAGATGGAATCAGTCTTGGAATTAACTGTAATGTGATTTGCCAAATCCTATTAATCACCCCACAGGAAATCCCTAACTCCAGAACCACACATCAACCAGGCCCTTACTTTAGGGAATAGATGGAGGGCTGCATGCTATGCCTTCTTCTCCATCTTGTGCAGACTCTGGCTGCTGAAGTCGCATGCTGCTTTGTATCTCTCAAATGTCTCAAATTCTTGCTCAATCTACTCAAATGAAGATGAGAAACTGGAGAAACCTAGCCTGACACAAATCTATACCCACCCCACCAAGGTTTCCTCGGTCAACCAACACCCTGGTCCTTAACATCTGTAGGTGAGCACCACCATGCTACACCATGAATCAGATGAATAGGTGGGTGAAGATGCCTCAGCCTCTCTCCTCTATACTTGGAAAACACTTTCTGAAGTTTGGAACCATTAAGCTCCATTATTAGATTGTTCTTCTGTGCAGGAAAAAAAGAATGGACCATATGCTTTTCCCCACAGCAGATAATGGTGAGCTCTATCTATCTGAGGGGAAAAGGTCAGCAAAAACTTGGTGGTCCACCCACCCCATAGCCTCTACTTTGTAGGTCCATCACCATGAATGACAGAATTCAGTTTTACATCAGAAAAAGGGTGAGGAACTAGTGCTACTTTTATTAAGCAAAGGTGAACAACTGTGATGCACACTCGAGGAGAAAGCTCTTGATACTAATATTTGGGAAGGTGTTCCAGAGAACGCAGACTGCAGATGGGGACAGCTTTAGTAAATTAAAACCAAGAATGCAGATATTGCCCATCATTCCAAATCCTCTGCTGACACCTGGTGGCTGAAACAAAAATTATCTTCTTGAACACTCTTCTGCCACACTTCTCCAGAAGACAACATAAAACACTTTTTAACGACTAGAATCAAAATTTAAGAATCCACTCTCAAGTCATTAGCGTTCAGAACACAATGAAGGCTATGTACACAAAGACAGGGCTATATCTTATTATTTAATGATAAGACTAGCACAGTTCAGGCACATAGTAAATGGTTACTATTACAGACAAAAACCACTTTTCCTATCTCTGGGTCATAGAACATATACTTTATAGGACAGAACCTACTAAGTGCTAAACACTTGCAAAACCTCTATATCAGGTAAATAATGTGAAGTAATTTAAAATGCATCCAAAGAGAAACTTCTTTTGTACTTTCCACACAAGTATTATTTTGTAAATTTGCAAATATCACAATGTAAACATACTGAAAAAGTTCAGTGAAGTTAGTCACTGTTTAGGCTGAATAGCTCTCACCTAGAGACTTTCTGACTTCACAGAATTGCTCCCAAAGTGTCAGTAACATTTTAGATAGATACAGAGTATACTCTATACATAGTAGCAATATGCATTGCTACTGCCAGTCATTATTCAAATATGATTGCTTTAATGATCAGGTGTAAGAGTCTGATCTTATCTTACATTTCTATAACCAGCAATTTCATGAAGTTGTTACTACCATAACAAATTTTACATATGCAGTGCATCAAAGTTAAAACAAATTCTGATTTTAAAGCATGTAGTATCAAGACCATTTTATGCTTTTTCTCCTTTCAAAAAATAATTTATCATAGTGCAACCAGTATTCTATATATGATGTGTATATGAAGTTGGTCCCCACGAAAACTACAAAGCTTACAATACCAAAGAGGAAAACACCATTTCTAAAAAAAATCTTATTATGTCAATTACACGAATATTCCATTCTTAGTAAAAGACTCTTTTGTGGACCTCAGTGGTATCTGAGGTTTGTTTGCCAGTGGGTGCAAACAAACACAACACTGTGGAAACCATATTGCATGAGAGAAAAACCACCCAACGTTCTGATCTTGAGCAAGTCAATTGCCCTTGAAGGAACTCATTCTTCTCTGAATAATGTGGGGACTGAGTTAGTCAGGCCCCTTCCAGCAACCACGTGCTACGAGTCTGAGAATAACCCAGAGAGAAAAGGCCTTCTCTGATGTCACTATTGTCCTACTTAAATACTCCTGTTGGAGAAGCTCTGTTTTTGGAAGCTTGAACTCCACATATATAAGGCTTTCTGACACACCACAGCCCACCTTTTTCAGCCTTGTCTCCATTGTTGCCCTTTGTGCACCTTAGATAGCTCCAGGAAAACTGAGCTGTTCTCTCATGATAATGATAATCTTACCTAGAATTCAGAAACTCTTACAATACCCATTCCTTTCAGTCTCCCTAAACTTATTCTGAAGCATGAAATGGTTCTGCTATGACTTCATCTCTTTCCCATGGATATCCAGGACCATGAACCCTTCGAGGGCAGGAGCTGTGTATGTGCCTTGTACATAGTCAATGTCTAGTACATGTCTGCAGAATCAATAAGCAGCCAATTACAGAGTTAATAAAGGGAAAGAAGGTTTATGTTAGCCTTAGATCCACTATACTCACTGAGCCTCTGGGAGGAACACTCAGAAATGGTAAGAATGCCAATTTGACTCATTGAAAAAGCGCCAGTGATTTTGGGAAATAATCATGCTAAGGACAAAGAAAAAAGATTCCATAGACAAGGAGAAAATGGTTGGGCTGCAGTATGCCATCAGATGAGGAAGACCATTTTTGGTGGTGGTAGTGATAGTGGACTTGGAGTGTGTGTTAGAAGAAATTGACAGACAGTCGAAGGAAATAAACTATAAGCAAATGCTAAAGACTCATAGAACACCATAAACAAGTACTTTCTCACATTCCTCTAACCATAAAAATGCTTCTTACCAAGAATGAGAAATGTATAAACACAAGCCAAAACCAAAAATCATAATTACCTGTATGATTTTCTTCTTGGTTTCTATCAGATACACTCACTCATACATGTACCTTTTCAAGCACCAACAAGGGAGACATTTCTCAAACATTTGGAGGTTCAAAGTGCAAAGCAAAGGACAGGTTCTTTTGATATCTCTTTCCTAAAGCAATTTTGTATCTCCACTCCTCAGAGACCTAATATTCCTAAACTAATCAGCCTATGCTACCTTTTTCATGGCAGTTTTGCTTCTTTCTCAATTAGCAAGCAGCCAATGCCATGGTTTGAGGAGGAGTCAGATCAGAGATCAGCAATAAACCACACGAGTGACGTGGTGAAGGCCTACTACCCCTCACATGCTCCCAAATCAACCACAAGCCAGGAGGGCAGGCCCAGTGCTCCATCAACAATCACCAGGCTGAGGCGCTCCATGTCTTGCTGTCCCCAGCATTTCATTTCCTGTGTGCTCACACCACAGCTCAAAATTTGTGGGCAGCAGAGTACTACTAGTTACTACTAATTTAGGCTTGGTGACAAGGCTGAATAAAACTATAATTGTAGCATAAGAAAAGTTAGATCAGAATTAGAACTACACTGAAAGAAAACCACTGAGAGGTTTGGACATACGCCAAGGGGTTTCCGAAAGGCTCTGGAAGACTTACCAGGGTTCATTGTAATCCTAAAATGGATATTTAGGGAGTAGACAGCAGACATAAATGATTTCCCTTCCCCCTACCAGGTTATCCTGGCTAATGCTGGAAATCTCCCTGCCGACAGCACTCTCATCAGCTCTCTCTCTCTCTCTCTCTCTCTCTCTCTCTCTCTGTCCCCCTCCCCCCCTGTCTCTAACTCAGGGCCTTGCACTTGCTATGCAGGTACTCTACCAGCTCTTTTTCCATTGCCTTCTTTTTGAGATATGGTCTCACTTTACGCCAGGGCTGGCCTGGAACATGATCTTTCTATTTGTGCTTCTCCGCATACCTGGGATGACTGTAGTGCACCACCACATCCATCTCATTGGTTGAGATGGGGTCGAACCATGATCCTCCTGATCTCTACATCCCGAGTAGCTAGGATTACAGACTCGAGCCACTGCACCCAACCTGAGGACTTCCATTTTTCTCACAAGGTCAGAGCCATTCACCTTACACCCACTCCCTTTTCTGATTAAACTGCTGCAGTTGCACACATGCTGTGCCAGGTCTGTGTCTGAGGGGGTAAAGTCCCTACTTCTCTCCCTAAAATACCTGGTCCATAAGCTTCACCTTCTAAATGAACACATGCACATATTCTAATGATAACATGGGTTCATATTTAGCACATAACATGATTAACGAAAAATTAGAAAAGCCAAAAACCAAATTGTCATGTAGAGGTACAAATTACTTAGAAAAACCCTTCCAAAGAAGCCATTTGGATTGAAAACACTGCATCTAAAAATTGACCAAAAGAAATGCACAGAAGCCAGGTGCTAGTGGCTCATGCCTGCAATCCTAGCTATTCAGGAGGCAGAGATCAGGAGGATCGCGGTTCAAAGCCAGCGTGGGCAAATAGTTCCTCAGACCCTATCTCAAAAACACCTAATAGGAAAAAAAGGGCTTGTGGAGTGGCTCAAGGTATACGCCCTGAGTTTAAGCCCCAGTACTGCCAGAGAAAAGAAAGAAAGAAGTACACAGAAGAGATGGTGGGTGGAAATCTCAACTAGATTACATTTGAAGTGTACAGCAGATCCCCCAAAGGTTAGATTTTAAGAAGAAAAGTAGCCAACAAACTATTCTTTCAGTTCATTCTTATATGAATGTGTGTGCCAAGAAGACCGTGGGGAAGGGTATGTTTTGCAACGTTGGGCATCTGATTTTGTAGAGGTAGAGAAACTGGCAGCTTCTATAATCTCATGGTCCTTTCTTTAAATTTGTAGAAGTAACAGAGTGCATCCATTATACTTACGACTTACATTTTTATTGCAAGTTTGCTGTGTATATATTTAGGGTTTTAAAATGGACTAACAACCAGAACTTAGTAGGATTTTGCACTAGGCTTGACAATTTACTTTAGAATGAGTAGCAGAAAGGGACTTAGTGTATTTTAAAGACAGGTAAAGTTAAACTTCTGGGTTGGGAAATAGGAGATGAAGGCTTGCAGTTCTGTCACTAGCTGTATGGCTTTGTGTAGATCACCTCATGCTTCTGGGCCTCAGTTCTCTCTTCAGTAAGATCAGTATGTAGAGAACCA